ATTTACATTGACTCAAAACTGTATAAATAATATTTTCGCAGTGTGAGCTATCTACCTGTTTCACTCGCTCACAATGACTCTTTCTCTCATAATTTTTTATTATTTTTTTTTTATTCTGACGTGTCGCAACCCCCGCCTTTTTCTTTCTATCTCTGCTCTCTCACTCTCACTCTCTCTCTTTCTTTCTCTCTCTGTCTCTCTTTCTCTCTCACTCTCTCTCTCTCTCTCTCTCTCTCTCTCTCTTTTTCTTTCTCAGCATTCACTCTTATACTTTTTCCTACTTTCTACCACACTTTATCTTCTGATTCTATCTCTTATCTCTCCTTCCATTATTCTTTTGCACTTTTCCAACATAGTTGTTATTCTGTCTGTCTGTCTGTCTGTCTGTTCTTCTCTCTTCTCTATCACTCGCTCTCTCTCTCCCTCGCTCTCTCTCTCTCTCTCTCTCTCTCTCTCTCTCTCTGCCATTTTCTATATCCGTATTTTCCATACTTTTATCTGTTTATGAGTTTGTTTGATTTGTTTGTACTTTTCAATTGTTCTATCTCCATAACATATTTTTCTTCTTCTTTCTTTCTGTTTGCATGTGTCTCTGCTACTGTCATTTACATTTCTCTTTTCATATACAAGAGCTACTATTTTGTCTGTTTCTCTCACTCTTCTACTCACGCTCCCTCCCTCTCTCTCTCTCTCTCTCTCTCTCTCTCTCTCTCTCTTTCTTTCTCAGCCTTCACTCTCTTACTTTTTCCTACTTTCTACCCCACTTTATCTTCTGACTCTATCTTTTATTTCTCCTTCCATTATCCTTTTCCACTTTTCCAATATAGTTGTTATTCTGTCTGTCTTTCTAACTTCTCTCTCTCGCCCTTCACTCTCTTACTTCTCCCCACTTTATCTTCTGACTCTATCTTTTATCTCTCTTTTCTTTATCGTTTTCGAATTTCCCAACATAGTCGTTATTCTGTCTGTCTTTGCCTGTCTGTCTGTCTCTCTCTCTCTCACTCTCTCTCTCTTACTTTCCCCTACTTTCTACCCCACTTTATCTTCTGACTCTATCTTTTAATTCTCCTTCCATTATCCCTTTCCACTTTTCCAACATAGTTGTTATTCTGTCTCTCTCTCCCTCTCTCTTTCTTTCTTTCTCGCCGTTCTCTCTCTTACTTTCTCCTACTTTCTACCACACTTTATCTTTTGACTCTATCTTTTATCTCTCCTTCCATTATCCTTTTCCACTTTTCCAACATAGTTGTTATTCTGTCTCTCTCTCTCCCTCTCTCTCTCTCTCTCTCTCCCTCTCTCTCTCTCTCTCTCTCTCTCTCCCTCTGTATCCGTATTTTCCATACTTTTATCTGTTTATGAGTTTGTTTGATTTGTTTGTACTTTTCAATTGTTCTATCTCCATAACATATTTTTCTTCTTCTTTCTTTCTGTTTGCATGTGTCTCTGCTACTGTCATTTACATTTCTCTTTTCATATACAAGAGCTACTATTTTGTCTGTTTCTCTCACTCTTCTACTCACGCTCCCTCCCTCTCTCTCTCTCTCTCTCTCTCTCTCTCTCTCTCTCTTTCTTTCTCAGCCTTCACTCTCTTACTTTTTCCTACTTTCTACCCCACTTTATCTTCTGACTCTATCTTTTATTTCTCCTTCCATTATCCTTTTCCACTTTTCCAATATAGTTGTTATTCTGTCTGTCTTTCTAACTTCTCTCTCTCGCCCTTCACTCTCTTACTTCTCCCCACTTTATCTTCTGACTCTATCTTTTATCTCTCTTTTCTTTATCGTTTTCGAATTTCCCAACATAGTCGTTATTCTGTCTGTCTTTGCCTGTCTGTCTGTCTCTCTCTCTCTCACTCTCTCTCTCTTACTTTCCCCTACTTTCTACCCCACTTTATCTTCTGACTCTATCTTTTAATTCTCCTTCCATTATCCCTTTCCACTTTTCCAACATAGTTGTTATTCTGTCTCTCTCTCCCTCTCTCTTTCTTTCTTTCTCGCCGTTCTCTCTCTTACTTTCTCCTACTTTCTACCACACTTTATCTTTTGACTCTATCTTTTATCTCTCCTTCCATTATCCTTTTCCACTTTTCCAACATAGTTGTTATTCTCTCTCGCTCTCTCTCTCTCTCTCTCTCTCTCTCTCTCTCTCTCTCTCTCTCTCTCTCTCTCTCCCTCTGTGCCATTTTGTATATCTGTATTTTTCCCTACTTTTGTCTCTTTATGAGTTTCACCTTGTTTGATTTTTTTGTACTTTTTAATTGTTCTATCTCCATATCATTTTTTCTTCTTCTTTCTTTCTGTTTTCATGTGTCTCTGCTACTGTCATTTACATTTCTTTTTTCATATACTAGACCTATTATTTTTTCTGTTTGTCTCACTCTACTACTCTCTCTCTCTCTCTTTCTTTCTTTCTCTTTCTTTCTCAGCCTTCACTCTCTTACTTTTTCCTACTTTCTACCCCACTTTATCTTTTGACTCTCTTTCCATTGTCCTTTTCCACTTTTCCAACATAGTTGTTATTCTGTCTGTCTGCCTTTCTCTCTTCCCTCTCTCTCTCTCTCTCTCTCTCTCTCTCTCTCTCTTTCTCTCTTTCTTTCTTTCTCTCTTTTTCTGCCATTTTCTCTATCTATATTTTCCTTACTTTTGTCTCTTTATGATTTTCACCTTGTTTGATTTGTTTGTACTTTTCAATTGCTCTATCTCCATAACATTTTTTTCTTCCTCTTTGCATGTGTCTCTGCTACTGTCATTTACATTTCTTTTTTCATATACTAGACCTATTATTCTGTCTCTCTGTCCCACTCTCCTGTTTCACTCTCTCTCCCTCTTTCTCTCTCACTCTCTCTCTCTCTCTCTCTCTCTCTCTCTCTCTCTCTCTCTCTCTCTCTCTCTCCCCTCTCTCTCTCTCTCTCTCTCTCTCTCTCTCTCTCTGGCATTTTTTATATCTGTATTTTCCCTACATTCCTATTTTTATTCGTTTCCCCTAGCCAGATTTTTTTTTGTACTCCTTCACTGTTCAATCTCCATAAAAGTTTTTCTTCTCTTTGATTTCCTTGTTTTTCTCTCTCTCTATCTTACCCTCTCACCGTTTCGACGATACTACCGACCTCTTATCTCTGCTATTGTTATTTTCATTTTTTTTTCATATACTCGACCATTCTGTCTGTTGGTCACACTTTCTTTCTCACCATCTCTCTCACCTCTTTCTCTCTCTCTCTCACTCTCTTTCTCTCTCTGTCACTTTTTATATCTGTATTTTCCCTACTTTTCAGTTTTTATTCGTTTTCCCTTACTCGCTATTTTTGGACTTCTTAATTGTTCTATCTCTATAAGAGATTTTCTTCTTCGTTCTTTCTGTCTGTATGTTTTTCTCCCTCCCTATCTTACCCTCCCACATTTTCTACTACACTACCTACCTCTTATCTCTGCTACTGTTATTTTCATTATTTTTTTCATATACTCGAACATTCTGTCTCTCTGTCTCACTCTTCTACTCACTCTCTCACTCTCATCCCCCTCTCTCTCATCGCCGCTTTCTCTTTTCCTCTTTTCCTCTCTCTCACTCTCCCTCTTTCTTTCTCGCCCTTCACTCTCTTACTTTTTCCCCACTTTCTATCCCATTTTATTTTCTGACTCCGTCGTTTATTTCTCCTTCAATTATCCTTTTCCACTTTTCCTACATTGTTGTTATTCTGTCTGCCTGTCTCTCTCTCTCTCTCTCTCTCTCTCTCTCTCTCTCTCTCTCTCTCTCATTTCTCTGTTCTTTTTTCTCTCTCTCTCTCTCTCTCTCTCTCTCTCTCTCTCTCTCTCTCTTTCTCTGGCATTTTTTATATCTGTATTTTACCTACATTTCTCTTTTTATTCGTTTCCCCTAGCTAGATTTTTTTTGTACTTCTTAATTGTTCAATCTCCATAGTTTTTCTTCTTTTTGATTTCCGTCTGTATGTTTCTCTCCCTCTCTATCTTACCCTCTCACCGTTTCCACGACACTACGACCTCCTATCTCTGCTACTGTTATTTTCATTATTTTTTCCATATACTATTGGACCTATTACTCATAATCTCCCTCCCTCTCTCTCTCTCTCTCTCTCTCTCTCTCTCTCTCTCTCTCTCTCTCTGCTTCTCTCTCTTCTCTGCTCTGCTCTCATATGTTTATCTGTCCCTCTATCTATCTACTTATCCATCTAATTATTTATCTCTATCTCAATTCGTCTGCCTACCTATCAATCTCTTTCCTGCTCTCTTTCTCTCTCTCTCTCTCTCTCTCTCTCTTTCTTTCTGCTTCTCTCTCTTCTCTGCTCTCCGTATGTTTATCTGTCCTTCTATCGATCTACTTATCCATCTAATTATTTATCTCTATCTCAATTCGTCTGCCTACCTATCAATCTCTTTCCTGCTCTCTCTCTCGCTTTGCTTTTTCTGTTATTATCTTCTATTTTTGTCCTCCGTGTTTGTATGTTTGATTATAATTATGTGCTCTCTACACCCGATATCATATATTCTTTTCATCCCTGACTGTTCAAAACAGCGACAGACTAGAACGATCGGAAAATCACTTACACTTACAACTTGATTTTTGTTTTTCTTCAGAGAGCCTGAGAAGGAAGTCCTCGGCAAGAAGGAGGACTCTAAGAGAGGCCGGGCCCTTTCGAAAACGAAAAACCGAAAAACAAACAGGAGCAAGACGTCGAAAAAGAGGAAAGGTGTCAGCGGAGGCGGGGACAAAAGCGTCGAAAGGCGAAAGAGCAAAAACCGTTCTGTAAGCAGGTCAAAAAGCGCCGGCAGGACCGGTTCAAAAGGAAACATAAAAACCAAGCCGAAACCCTCGTCGAAATCGAGATCACCGTCCAAATCGAAAGATTCGAAAAAACTAAAAACCACAATATGTCCAAAAAAACGGATTAATAAAATTTAAACCAAAACCCGTCTTGTTTTTTATTTTATTTAAAAAATGAAAATTTTCCTTTCAAAGCCATATGGCTTTGATTTGTCATTTTAGATAGTTTATTTTTCTCATTGTGATTTAGAGGGGAGTGAATTTGAAAGCAGAAAAAGGTTGCAATGCCTCTCCGGAAGAAGAAATCGCATACGTCAAACGTCATGGATTGGTCAAAAAGTGAGTTTAACCGGTGGTTCCTTTACGTCGGGTTGTCAGTATTGAACGTATTGTTGCATTTTTTTGAAATAGGAAGGTCATACTTTTTTTGTTTCCAGAATCGGCCAGAGTTACTTGCAGAACTGGCACAAAGCTTTCAAAAGCGGAGTGCGCCTCTCCAGTGGATTTGGAACTCCGTACGATACAAAACAGAGGCGTGAACACTACCGAATCGTCTTGTAAGTCCGTCATGACGAGAAACGCTCTCGAAGCGACGGTCGATGAGGTACAGACTGTTCGCAGAAAACCCCACTGCCAGGTCGAAACCGCGGCCACAATGACTGACAAGAAAACACATAAAAAACCCCGGAGTAGAAAGTCCATAGAGAAGAGAAATTCGTACATGAAAGAGTTAAGAAGCCTTCTCCTAGGAGATTCAGAAGACAACGAGGATAATTCAGAAAACGCCACTGACAGCACTGATACTTTCAAATTCGACGCGAACGATTTCAACAGTTCCACGGATTCTTTCAACAGCGACAACAGCTTCGCCTCCTATGGCGACAATCTAACAGAAACCGATAGTTTAGACACTTGCACTTTTGAAACGACTTATTTCAACGATAAGGTTGAAAATAACACAAACGAAGAAGTCTTAGATAAAGACAAAACAGTCATCAGTGATAACAGCCCGGAAGAAAAACCCGATTCGGTTAAAGACGCAAAGAGCCAAAGGGCTTTTTTGATCCGAAAAGCTGCTTTAAAACAAGACCTGATGGAAAATAGTGAAAACTACGGGAAAAGCAAAACTAAACTGAGACAGATAATAAAGACAAAAGTAGAAAAGATGTTCGATGGCTTGGCCGAAGACAATTTTCAAACATTCGAGGAATCAGCCGAGGACAAGTGCGATATTTCCAACCAGGCTTTTTCCTCTTTGAAGTCTATCCTGGAGACACACGTCGACAGGATCGCACATAGTATGATCAACGAAAACTCGACAGACGGGAAAGTAGATGAGGTTGAAAATTCAGAAGATACCGACCCGGATGTTGAAGAATCTTTCAAGTCGATAGAGAGAAATTCCCTCTCACTCAACAATCTCATAGATTATGTTATGATGGTCAAAAACAGTTTAGGAGAACCTATGTTACACAGTAAAAATAAAAATTTAGAAATGATAGATCTATTAAAAGATCTAGAAAAAACTCCTGACTCTTCAGACAAATCTAGTTTAAACGTACCGAACGTAGTGAATAAACTATCCTCTGAATCAAATCTATCAACGCTCAGTGATATTTCGATTAAATCGAAACACTCAGACATAGATGATATTTCATTTGCAAATGTTTTAAAAGACGTCGAAACAGGCCGAGATTGTATGAACAAGCTTTCAGACGAGCTTTTAGAAGAATTTTGCATGGATCCGTTAAATTCACCGGGCTGTTCTTACATGTCTAACGATTTTCATTATAAGATGGTAAATCCTGGAAATTCTGACTATACTAAAATCGACCGGTTAAGCAAAGTTTCGGCTAAGTCAACGGAGAATAGTGTAAAAACGAAATGCAATGAAGTCAACAGGTTTCTTCACGAAAGGACGAAGACGAGCGTGATGAGAGACAACAGGTCGCAAAGGATTGGCGTAAAGCCGATTATCAAGGAAAGAATGGAAAACCGGACCAAACATAACCAATCAAAGGTTGAGACGAATAATCGCGAAATCAAAAGACCAGCGACTGAAAAGTGTTTCAAGGAGAACAAAACAAAAATGGCGAAATGGAAAAGTGATTCGACTATGGGCTTTGTGCCCACAGCGCCCGTGGATTCGAGTCCTACGATCGCGATAAACACCGACGAAGATCAAACACCGAAAGATTTCACAATCAGTAAGAATAGAAAAGAAACAATTTGGTAATTAAGTGATTTTGACTATAATTTTGTCTCATGCTTCCAAAATCTACCCAGCTGGGTTATCGGCTCAAGTCTGCGACGATGAGAAATCTGGAGTGGACGAAAAGGTGAAAAAGAGTACGGAACTGGTACAAAGCGAAACTTGCAGGACCGAAAGAAACGAGGCAACGAGCCAAAGTGAAACGATTTTCAATCGGGACGGGTGTTTCGGTTCGCCCGAAGAAGAACAGAGACGGAACGAAGAACAAAATCAACATTTCAAGAAAAATCCACGAGGTAAGACTTAAACAGTACACGAAAATTGATTTATATCTTCATATCCCTGAGAAAAATATAATAAACCTATTCAGAAACCTAGCAACCTTCCCAAAATACTTTTCAGGTCAATTTGCCTAGCATACGATAACCTTTTTGTTGAATTGTTAGTCAATTAGTTTAAAATAAACTATATAAAAAGTAAAACTCCACATTTATTCCAACGATTTCAGGATTTAGACGTTATTCTCTTACTATGCTATTCGTTTGACCAAATAGAGCATCCTATTTGTTATTTATTATATTACATTATACTTTATTCGAAGAGAATTTGAAACGTTAATGTAAAAATCAGCGAGAATGTTATAAATAAATTTTCAAAGTGTGAAATTACTAAACGCCTAAAAACGGATAAAAACAACAAAAGAATAGATAAATAAATTCTGTGTGTGTAGAGAGAGGGAGTGAGAGTGAGAGAGAGAGAGAAAGAGAGGGGAGAGCGAAAGAGAGAGGGAGGAGCGAACGAGAGAGAGGGGCAGAAGGAAAGAAAGTGGGAAAGGGAGAAGGAAAGAAAGTGGGAAAGGGAGAAAGAGAGTGAGAGAGAGTGGGTTGGGGATAGAGAACAAAGGAGAGATTGAGGCAGAGATAGATAGATAGATTGATACAAATAGAAATATAGACAGACAGTAAGTGACAGTAAAAAGAAGATTGAATGATTGATTGATTACTTTATTTGTCTATTTATTCAGAGAGAGAGATAGTGAGAGAGAGAGAGAGAAAGAGAGAGGGAGAGGGAAGTGAGAGAGAGGCAGGGAGCGAGAGGGAAAGTGTGAAGGAAAGAAAGAGAGAGAGTGAGAGAGAGAGAAAGGGAAAAAGAAAGGGAAAGTGTGAAAGAGAGAGAGAGAGAGAGAGAGAGAGAGAGAGAGAGAGAGAGAGAGAGAGAGAGAGAAAGAGAGAGGGAGAGGGAAAGAGAGAGGGCGAGGGAAAGTAAGAGAGAGGCCGGGAGAGAGAGGGAAAGTGTGAAAGAGAGAAAGAGAGAGAGGAGAGAGAGAGCGAAAGGGGGCACGGAGAGATAGTGGGGGAGAGAGAAAGAGAAAGAGAGAGGGAGAGGGAAAGAGAAAGGAGAGAGGGAGACGGAAGAGAAAGGAGAGAGGGAGAGAGAAAGTGAGAGAGGGGCAGGGAGAGAGGGAAAGTGTGAAAGAGAGAGAAAGAGAAAGAGAGAGGGAGAGGGAAAGAGAGAGAGAGTGGGTTGGTGATAGGGAACAAAGGAGAGATTGGGGCCGACATAGATAAATAGGTTGACAAGTAATATTGATAGTAAGTGGTAGTAAAAGAAAGTTTGATTGTTTGATTTATTATTTTATTTGTCTATTTAGTTTGAGAAAAAGAGAGAAAGGGGAGAGAGAGAAAATAAATTATATAGATAGAGAGTTACAGATAGTAAAATGTTTGATTTGTCTATTTATTTAGAGAGAAAAATTGAAAGTTGGGGAGAGAGACGGATAGAGATGGAGATTATATGGACAGTAGAAAGTGACGTACTAGAGAGAAATCGTGGGATAGAGAAAGGAAGAGTCAGACAGACAGAGTGCGTGAGAGAGAGAGAGATGTAAAGAAAGAGGCAGTAGAAGGAAAGAGGGTAAGAGAGAGAGAGAGAGAGAGAGAGAGAGAGAGAGAGGAACAGCTAGATAGACAGAATAGATTGACGAACATCTAACAACAAAGAGTGAAATGTAAACTGAATGAGAAGGACCTATAATAAGAAAGTAAGAACAAAGTGAAATTCATGTTTTTGAATCAGTTTAAAAATTACTTTTAATTAACTATTGGTCAACTTATTAACTTTTATTTCTTTGCAAAGCTTTACGTTTTGTGTTGTTATTATAAAAAAAATTTGGTTTGAGATATTTTGTTCAAGAAATGGACAGGTTTTTTCCCTGTAAAACTATGCTGCTTGTGGGGATGGGTGATTGTCCGTTTTGTAGAATTTGTGTATTTTTCTTTTGATAACATCGTCCACAATTTTCCCTTTGTTTTCTGATAGTGCCATTGAAACCCCCGTTAGAGGCCAGACCCCGGAAAAAGCGTACGAACCTGACCGCCGGAGGGACGAGGGATAAGAATTGGTTCGGAGTAAACGCGCCCAAAGGCGACACCCGGAAGAACGTGACCCAGAGCGAAATGAATGTCAAAATTCGTACAGCGAAGATGTCACCCTGGAAAAGCGATCCGGGTATCGGCCAAAGGCTCTCCTTGGATACGGGACCTGTAGAAAGAAACAGCGAAGGAAGTCAAGTACAGAATCAACCCCAAAGTCCCAATTCGAATGGTAAGATTAATCAGACGTATTTTTAATAAGTTTAAGAACAATTCTAGAATAAGCTGCTCACTGATCTCCCTCGGCATTAAGCTTCTTTGGTAAGCAAGAATAACTGCCAAATCAGGAAAACTGCGTTACAATATTGTAGATAAATCAATACTAACTAGTGAAACAAAACTCTCCAATCCTTTGTCATATAACCAAATCCTGGAATCGGGTGCCAGGTCATCAAGGAATCGTAGGTACAGCTACTCCGCAATGGCAAGACTAATCCTTCCTCGATCGCCCTTGATATAATTGAGGGTCGATTGGGTACTCTCACACTCTACATTTACGCTAATAAATAGCTTCGCTCTCAATATACACAATAACGAACCCAAAACGAAATATCTATAGAGTACTACATTCAATAAAAAATCCTTGCTTAAAAAAAAATCGTTACGGTTGACCAAATACTGGCTGCCGTGCTCAATACGATTCTTTCGGTATTCCTACACGTTCTCTATATGGCTATGGCAACCTCCATTCTCGCTAATAAATACATTCAACTTCAATATACACAAAACTAGGTATCTAATATAATAAAAACAGTCATGTTTCTTACAATAATCTGGGCAAAGGACCCACAATCACAATTCTAATACCATGTTCCTGTACGCTCTCTATAAGGAGCCAAGGAATGGCGATTAAGTGGGGACACTTTTTTTCTCTATATGTCGGATACATACGCGCTCTTTGGGCCAAAAGTAAGTGTTGGTGTGGTCAACCTCATGATTTATTCTTAATCGGGGAAAGATGATCTTTCTACGATTCAGATCCTCATCGGGCAACCTCTCGATGCTCTTGATACGTAAGGTTTAAGCCCTCATTTGCAATAAAAAAATTTTTTTGGGGGGGGGATTTTTTATTTCATTCCTTTAGAAGGCCGAGACCAAACCATAGTACTTATACCACAGTCATGTCGATACTGCTACATATATTTTCATAGATATACCGATATATACATATTTACTTCCGCTCATTTATCATGGTATTCTTACACAGAATTTTTACACATCTTCTAGTGACTAGGAGACCAACTGTAATACTTGTATCCTTCTTATTGTGTCGGCAGGTATAAAACCATTCATTAGGGGTACGGTGACTTCACAGAGCTTATACATTACTTTTATTTCTTCTGCCAGCTCTTGATGTTTACGCTTTTTCTCGGCTTCCGTTTTGCGAATGTTGTCCTTCAATGGTATTCCTACATTGATTACGACTAAGATTGCACTCTTTCCCCCCTCGTACTTAATATAACTACACTGCCCCCACCCAAAAAAAGAAAAACGACCGCCTGGTTTTTGCTCGAAACTTTGGAAATGCATTTTTGGGATTTTCTCAGTCTTTTAAGTCACAGACCTGGGCTAGGTGTCATGTTTTAGCAAATTTTACGCTGAACGAGATGGCTTTTTTAAATGTTTTCCTAGCTTCAGTCATTCATCAGTATATGCAAAAATTCGGGAACACACACATACACAAGTATGTATGTACATGTCGGCTACTCGTGTTACAAACTTTGCCAGTCGATTCTACATTCAAAAAGGAACCAAAAAGTCTTAATTAACTATGGTCTGAATCTCAACAGTTTCGGAGTTATTCCACTTTTTCTGATTTTTTAAGATTTCACGACCTTTCTTCAAATAAACAATGATAACTACAAAACTAAATGGTTTTGAACAAATCCGTTCATACCATTGAAAACTACGTTAAATTGCCAACAAGATGTGACCAATTGTAAACTTGTAAACGTTCGTAAAAATATGCGTTTTAGTAGCGAGAACTATGAAAAATAATTTTTTTCTCAAAGTTGAAAAACACTATGGTGATTTGGAAATAGATGTTTCCAAACATAGAGATCAGCAAATTTCAGAAAACGTACCCCATTTAATACCCTTTTCAGTAGTGCAATTGCTTTTTTAATTACTTTTTTCAAAGATGAAGAAACTCTGATGAAGGAAAAACCGTGGTATTTTGAACTTTTATGGCGGGGGCGCGTTTTTATATTTACGGTTGCTTTTATAATAAAGTAAAAACATTAAGTAGAAAATATGTTTATTCTTTTTAATTATTGCTTAAATGTTTTTCTAGGCAAATTTTGTGATTGTTTTTGTTTAATTTTTTTGTATTTCAACTTGAATTAAGTTTGGTTGGCAACACTGGAAGGCGGAACCTCCATAGTGCAACCCAGGTAGAGAACAGCAACCGACTATTTCGTTATACGTTCTAACCCTGTAACCCAATTGTTGTTATTGTCGATATTTTTTATATTGTAATTAAAAAATGATATCTAATTTAAAATGTGATAAGCTGTTCGGGCAAAATTGAACAAATCGTAACTCATTGTTTTTTTTAATTATAACGAGTAGAAATGGACGCCGAGGGATCGCAAGCGTTGCTTTTCAAGGCGGTCGACAAGGAGGAATTTGAGAAAATTGAAAGCCCTTTACGTGAAAAGATAGAAGCAGTGCTTAACGAACACATAGACGGTTATTTAACGGCCAAAGCGTGCTTTGTCTCCACAAAAATATCTCAAGGTAAAATCAAATCAAAATATGCCTTTTTAAACAAATAATCTCAAAATTGTATTTCAGAGGAGAAGATTAAAGATTTAGAAGAGCAGGTGAAAAATGTCAAGCAGGAAAGAGACGATTATAAGATTAAATTGGATGCTTTGACGACGCAGTTTGATGAGACGAGCAAAAGGCTTGCGGTTACGAATGTCCAGGTTAACAAGTTACGCGAGGAGGTTCAGCGGTTGGAGAAGTCTGTCGAAACTGTACGCCATGAAAGGGATGAGGCGGTCGATGAGAAGCAGATCGCTTCGAATGCGCTCGAGAGACGCGAGATGGAATTGGACCGGCTACGGGACAGCGTAACCGCCCTTAACGCTGACCTGAGGGTGGCTGTGGCCGCTCGCTGTGAAGCAGTGTCGCAAGCTGAGGATGTACAGGCCAAACAACTGGAACTGGAGTTTAAGTATGTTTTTAATTCATTTTTACTTTCATTTTAGAATAATTTTAAAACAGTAATTTAATACTTATCGTGCAAAGCGTCGGTGGTCTCAACGATTAAGGTGACTTACCACCATAAGGTAAAATTGGCGGGTTCGAATCCTGCAGCCTAGAATTCAAACCTGGCATACAATATTTTTTCAAAAAAAAAAAAAAAAAAAAAAAAAACCTAAGCATTCATTTAACCTTGTATTTGAAATATTCTCATTAAAAAGTAAATAAATAAAAAAGTTCTGATACTTGGTCTGCTTTTCCTTGCTGGGTTGGTTTGTCAGATGCTTTTCGATATTTCATCATCTTCAGTGTGTGTGTTTTTGTAAAGCGAGACTCTTTTAGTATGGATTTCTAATATAATGCGTTTTTCAAATTCTTCTTTCCTTCAGTTCACTTTGGTCTATACATTGTAAAAAATTGTCCATCTGATCTTCTTAGGCTAAGGCTAGGTAGCTGAGTTTGTGTTTTTTACCTGGTGGGCAGTGATTTCTGATCGTTTCGTTTGGACGAGGTTATTATTTCTGCAGTTTTTAAAAGACCTGCTCTATGGAATCTAAATGAGGATCTCCAGAAAATCGTAACTGCGTAGTTGACCTTACAGCAGTTTGAATTCACCTTCTAACATTCTTCGCAAGCCAACAATAGCAATCCAACTGTGTGCTTGAAAGTTGATAAAAAAATAAAAAATGCATGGATTTACAGACATTTGGATAACCAAGTGGCTATAAAAGTTCCAAATGATTTTAGCTCCAAACTACACTGGGAATGCATTATTTGCCTAATGGCCCTAGGAGACATGTTTAAAAAGCTGTCCTACAAAAAAAAAAAAAAAAAAAAAAACCTAAAGTAAACTAAGCAGGCATACCACAGAGCATGCTAAAGTTGAAACTGGAAAAAAAGGCTCGAGGAATAAAAAAGCACCAGCAGAAAGGAAGGTGACGGAACACTTTCTCCTCGAAAAAAAATGTTTTTATTTTTTTATTTTTTTTTGCATCAAAAAATTATACAGCCATGTTACAAAGAATATAGTTCATATTATATTTTCACAGACACATCATTTAAAAATTTTATTATCAAGTTATACACACTGGGATTCTTGAATAGAGCTCTACTTTCTGTAGTTGGGTGTTTTACTCCTTCTTTCTCCAGATCCTGGTAGAATTTATTTCTGGCTGACGAATGTTGGCTGGAGTTCATTATGTGTGTTAGGTACTCCTTTACTCCGCCTGTGACACAATTTGGGTGTTGTTTTATGCCAATCTTGTGAAGATACGCTGCGCAGATGCCATGGTTTGTTCTTAACCGATGTATGGTGGTTATGTCTTTTTTTGCCATGTCTTGTTTGTTAAACCACGGTATTGCTTTCATAAGTGGAAATAATGTTTTATAAGCCATTCCCTTATCCGAGGCAGAGTATTCAGTTTGCCATTCTATTTGAATTCTTGTTTCCAATATTTGAAAAAGGTCTGTATAAGGAATCCTTGTGATTCTAGGGGTGAGTAACTGTGTGGCATTTTTTGCAAGTTTGTCGGCTTTTTCGTTGCCGTAGATGCCTGTATGTCCTTTAATCCACACGAAGGAGACCTTTTTTTTAAAAGTGGAAAAGTTGTGGACAGTCTTTTTTTATGTCAGCTACAATATAATTCTTAATGTTAGTAAATGTGTTTTGCAAGCACTGGAATGCAACGAGGCTGTCTGTGCAAATAATATGATTCGTTGTAGGAAGGTTAAGTGTAAAGAAAGTTAAAGCTGCCTTAATTGCTAATAATTCCGCCGAATAAATTGATATCTCTGCCGGCAAAGGAATTGATTCCCCTTTATTGATGCTAGGGCAGAACCAGGAGCATCCAACCTTAACAGACATGAGGGATCCATCGGTGTAAACAGTTAAGTGGTCCTTAGGGAAAAGTTCCTGAAGATCAGCAAGCACTCGTTGATTAACCGCTACGGGATTTTGTCCGGAGAAGTCTTTTAGTATATAGCAATTAAGGGGGTTTCTTATTATTTTTAGCTCTGTAGAGAAAATTGGAAGGGTATGTCTTTGTTCGATTTTTTCTTGATATTTTGCCAGAGAGGAAAACTCTTGGTAATCGGTGGAGGTTTTTTCTTTTGCCAATATTTTTTTGTTAGATTCATTATGGACAAATAACAGATGCGCTGAACTAGATGTTTTTTTTAACACAAACTGTCCTGCCAGTTTTTCTCTTCTATGTGACAGTTGGTTGATCGTTACACATTCAGCTTTGATGGCATCATTGGGGATGCTCCTAAGAGATCCCAAACAAGTTTGAGAGATTTGTGCTATATGATGTCCAATTTCTTTAATTTTGATCTAGAAGAAAATGCTTGTCAGCTCATTTTCCCTAATTCTATTTTCTGAGCACTGGTGTAGAGTGGTTAAAAAGAGCAAATCTTTGCATCTTTATGCAAGGCAGGCAGTTGGATCACGAAATGTGATTACTAAATAGCAAACCAATTTTTTTTTTACCTTTTGCAATAACTTTGACATTTTTTGACCAATTTAAAATCCGATTGCACTATAGTTTACCACATAAAAAATGATGTGTCAGGATCAAGTTGAAATGGGCCTGATGTACCCTGTGTAATTTTTCTCAAAAGAAAGGTAAAAATTTGAAACTAGACTAAAAAATATTAAACACATTTTTTTAAAATATTCCTGATAGCTTCATTCGTTCAAATGAAATGCAACCCGGCTATCTAAAAAGGACACCTTGTATATTTATTGTTCATTAATTCATTGTGACATTTTAACCGTTATTTAGTTTTTTTGCATTTTAAATTTTACACCCCACATGTAATATGTTATATTATTATTATTATTTGAAAAATGGCAAAAAGAGGGAAAATCTGAAGGTTGTAGGTTGAGATGAGGAGTTGATGTCCGAGTGATTGAAGTCATGATAGCTCAAGTGGTTAGAGAAGGCAACATATTGAGCCAAATGTCGTGGGTTCATGGCACTTTTCCATCTCGACCCAGACTTTAGATAAAAAGAATAATTAATTGGATTATGTCAATTATATTGTCAATTATGACCGCTAAACATATATTATTTTTTAGACAATATCTACCCCTACCTCCTTTCCTTCCCCATTCCTTCAAAATAAAACATAAACAATTCACTAGTTTCGTGGTCCGCTTGACCAATTAATATATTACAATTAATTAAGGTTTTCAGTTGAGATAAAAAAGTCAATGGCACGAGCGGGATTCGAACCCACGATATTCGGCTTGATACTCTACTCTACCACTTGAGCTATTGTGACCTTGATCCACTCGGACATCAACTTCCCATCTCAACCACACCTTTTTGAATTTTCCCTCCTTTTTGCGGCGTATCAAGCCAAAGATTGTGGGTTCGTATCCCGCTCGTGCCATTGACTTTTTTAACTCAACTGTAAACCTTAATTAATTGTAACATATAAACAATAAACATTAAAAATCTCACTAATATTCTCAACGTGACACAACAGTGACACGACTTCACAGAAACACACACTTTGAGTGATTACAAATATATACACCTGAAATTTCTATATTGTGAACATCTTTATATAAATCCGTATGTTATATGTATTTTTATAATTTAGTTTATAAATCCCAGGCCCTGGATATCTCAATAAGGGTCGAAACGTTAGCATGATAAATAAAGTTTTTCTAACCTACATCGCACCAAATCACATCACATGATCTTTAAATAATAATAAATCATCATTATTATTTTTAAAGGGAAAAACGATTTGAATCGGAAAGGACTCTCCTGAACCAACAAATCATCCAATTGACAGCTGATCTAGGAAGAGCCAATGATGAACTCATGAAGCAACGCCGTGAAGCGACGACATCAATGATAGCACTCCAGACAAAAATTACTGAAAAGGAAGAAGAGGTAAATAATATTGGTAATAAAATAAGGAAAATATTCATTTTCAATTTTTTATGCAAAGACGGTTGAGAAGAAAAATTAGTGTGATGAGTTGGATTCGAACCCACAACCATCGGCTCGTGACACTAATTTTTATTCTCAATTGTCTTTCCATAAAAAAATTGAAAATAATAATAAACCGATAACTGATTAAATAATTCAACCAATGGTATAAAATAAATTGTTTTCCAGTTGAAAATCTCCAAGGATCAATTTTCGAAACTCCAAGAAATAAATAGCGACATGATGGACAGATTGGAAGAGCTTGGAAACAAGTTGAAGACGCAGGTCGAAAAGGAGAACGCGATAATTACAAACTTTGAATCAGAGGTGAAGTCGCAGACGAAGTTGGCGGACTTGTACAAAGAAAGGCTTGAAGAGTCCGAGAACAGGTCTGTCGAGCTGTCCGGCGCTGTGAAAGAACTCCAGCGACTCTTGCAAGAGGCGTCCGAACAGCACGGCATACTCGAGACGAAACTTTCCCAACAGGAGCAAGACACGAAAGCGACATTAAAAGCGAAGCAAGAGGCGATATCGGCTCTCAAAGAAGAACTGAGACACGCGAATATTTTACTCGAAGCCGTGAAGCAAGAATCGTCCGAAGCCGCCGTAAGCAGGCTCTCCCCTATGGCAGCGTCTGCCAGTAAACTCTTAAAATCGGGCCTTACGCTCACCCAGCTGTATACAAAGTACGCTGAAGTATCGCAGGAACTTATCGTTTATAAAAACGAAAACGAACACATGAGAGAATACATGGCTAAAGTGCTCGATGACATCAATGAAAAAGTCGCTGTTTTGAAGAAGCAAGAAGAAGACTATACATATGCCGTTGAATCGATGGAAATGCTAAATAAAAAAGTGGAAGATCTCGAATCAGAACAATCTAAACTTATGAAAGAAAAAGGAGAAGCTGAGGCGACCGCAGCGTATCTTCTTAGAGAAAACAAAAGACTGAACGGTAAAATATTCAAATTTAAGAAATTTATCATTATGCACATACGAAATAAAGAACATCCCAAACATTCATGGTGTTTTTATTTGAACATTTTTAAGGGAGTGTGTCAGACCTAGGACGTCAAGTTTGCTTTTTATTACGTGAAGTAGAAGCCGCCAGGGGCAATCATGTCCCGTTGCACGATGATCCGGAAAAATCTAAAGCCGATGTCGTTACAACATCGGATGTGAGTATATAAACAAATACAATATTTAATGAAAGATTACATGTTTTTTTCCCCACAGGTTATTTCTAAACACTTGGTGACATTCAGCGACATCCAAGAGCTCCAGCTGACGAACCAGAAACTCCTCGCGGCGCTAAGAGAGATCAGCCAAGACAAAGAAGAAGTCGAGATGGGCCGCGAGAGCGAGCAGGTCGTCGAACTCAAAGGAGAAATTGAAAGGGCCAAGGCAAAAGTGACAGACTTACAAGAAAGGGAAAAATTCCTCGAGAAAGAACTTGAAGTGATTAAAAGTCAGAGAGATGTTTACCAACGGCTGTTTAAACAACAGAACAAAGGACAGACTGATGTAAGTATATACACGACAGACAGATGGTATGTTACTCATCGAGGAAATTTCTAGGAGAACGGTGCTGCAAGCGTCGACGAGCTTCAACAGAAATCAGACTCGCACTCAAACGTACCCGTAGGCGAGACAGACGATGTTAAAACTCTCAAAAACATGCTTGACGAGTTGAAGCGCGAACAGGAGATCTATCGCAACGAGCGAAATACCAATGAAAAAATGCTCAATGAGAGTTTGTCCAAAGTGAAAGAAGAATTGAGCGAGTCGATCAAGGCGTGCTCTGAAGCCGGTGCGCGCGCTGTTTACATGACGGAAAAATGCAAAGCTCTCGCGAAGCGTGTCCAGTCGCAGGCTGTTGAACTGGAAGCGTCCGAGAAACGTTGCGCCAATTATGTCGTTACTATCGGCAAACTCGAAACCAACTTAAAAAATACAAGAGATGTAAGTTTTTTTACTGTATAAAATTTTTAGATTTAAAGGTTTAATTTTTTGTTTAATTTTTAGGAAGCTTTAAACGCGTTAAATAAATTATCAGTGACTGAAGTTACTCTAGCTAACGTACAACAGGAAAATCAATTGTTAAAGGACAACGAGAGAAGGATGCAGATGGAAAGGAACATCAATCGTAAGGAAAAACACGGCCAGGTAAATTATCCATTAGTACAAAACAGCGTAAATATTTATAAATATTTTATAAAAAAATAGGAGCTGCTTATGGCGAACCTTGAAGCTCTTAAAATGAAATTTGAAAGTTCTGAAGTCGAAGCGAGAATGAGGCTTGAGAAAAGACTAGACGACGCGAATGTCGAGTGTACGTCGTTGCGCAGGAGGCTCCAGGAAGAGCAGGACAGGCTGACGAGGAGGATCGAACTACTCGAGGAACAGATGAAAACGGCCAAACAGCGCCTTGACGAGGAGAGAATGCTCAAAGAATCGATCGCTCAACAGCTTGAGCAGGCGAGGCAAGACGTGAAAGAAAGGGAAGATCGTATCGACGAGATGTCGAATCAGCTCACGTCGGCGATTAACAAATCTCAGCCTGTGCTCGACAGAGGTATTTTATTTAAAAACAAAGACAAAAGGAATTTGGTTCATGTTTTTATTTTTTGTATAGAAAATAAAATCAAGGAGTTAGAGAGCCAACTGCGCCTGAAAGAATCTTCAATCGAAGGGCTCAATGAACAGTTAACCATGGCAAAAAAATGTCAACAGGAATTTTCAGAAGTATCGCTCGGTATTGAGAAACAGTTGACTGAAGTGACTGAACAATATGAACAGCACAAAGCCGAATCTGACAAAACGTACGTTATAATGTGCATAAAACGTTTAAAGTTGTTTATAATTTTTTTTTTTTTAGAATTTCTGAATTAACAAAAGCCAATGCGGATCTTAAAGCATCGGTTCATAATCTTGAAATAAAGCTCAAGACTTCGAACGCCGCGGAGACTGAAAGTCGCGTCCAGAGGGAGGCCGAAGTCACGAGCTTGAGGAGCCGTGTCGAGGCGTTGAACAAAGAATTGGACATCGCTAAAACAAGCCTCGCAGCCGTCGAAAAAGAGGGACAGGAAGCTACGAGACGGGCGAGTGACGCTCAAGAAAAAGCCTCATCGCAAGTCTTATTAAACGACAAACTTTTAACGGTAAGTAAACAATAACATCAAATAATATTAAAGTTAGTAATTGTTTTCTTTAAACAGGAAATGGACCAGCTTAGAAGCGAACTTTCAGACGTGAAAGCTGAACTTGCGACGATGACGGGCGAGAAGGACAGACTCGTTCAGACGAATCAACTCGAAAAGGAAGCGATGCAAGTTAAGATCGAACATTTGGAATCGGCCGCGAAAGCGAGCGACGAGAAGATCGCCGAGCTTACAAAGTTGAACGACCTTCTCCAAGACCAGCTCCAAGAACTCGGGCTCAAAGTGTCCATCTTGGACAGTTCGAAGAGCGTCGGGATGGAGGACATGCTCGAAAACAGCCTCTCGAGTGACACCGTGAGGGAATCGGACAAAATGCTAGAGGTCATGAGGTTCTTGAGGAAGGAGAAGAGTCTGGCCGTAACACAGGCTGAATCGCTGAAAGCCGAAAAACTGCAAATGCAAGCCGAGGTATTTAATAAGATTCATTCAAGTTTTACTTCTTTTGTAATTTGGTTGTTAAAGATAATTTTGGCCTGCCTGGATTGGTCTGATAGGCGTTAGAAGTGGTTAGGAATGGTTTGTTTATTGTAAAGGTGCATACACACTAAGAAAATCTTGACAAAAAAAGAACCATTGGCTTCATTGGCCTTGATTTGATTGATGTGTATACGAGGCGATTCTGAGCCAACGAAATGGTTGGCCTTGATCGAAGTTTGAACTTCAGGAGGTAAGGCAAAAGTCGGGACTCTTGATTGCGATTCCACATGTCCAAATCTCTTGGCACCGACCCGATGGTTTGATGAGGATGAGATAAGGATGGCCAATTTGGCGACCAACGTATGGTCCCATATATTGGTTTTCTTTCATTGACTGAGATTTACTTAGTGTATGATATGCTAGGTTTTATTATTTGTTAAAATTTCAAAGAGCGGAACTTGCCCTGTCTCCCAATTGGAATTTCCTGCTAGGTTACTTTTGAAAATAGCCTATTAAGTAAAAATTTTAAAAAATATGTCATTTACAAATAATAATAGATTTATTTTGTTTATTGTTTAAAAAAAACTAAAGAAAATTTTAAAAATTAAAGAATCTAAGAAACACCCTTGCTACAATACGATTCCACATGTCCAAATCTCTTGGCACCTCGATCCTCTCGGTCACCAACTTCCCATCTAAACCACACCTTTTGAATTTTCCCTCCTTTTTGCCATTTTTCAAATGTGTAATCGGATTGGATTCTCGACGACAAATGAAATGGCCACGGAGAGCTTTAGTGAAGTATACTTCATTTTAAATCATTAAATTCACTAATTTCGTGGTCCGCTTGACCAATTAATATATTACAATTAATAAAGGTTTTTATTTGAGATAAAAAAGTCAATGGCACGAGCGGGATTCGAACCCACGATCTTTGGCTAAGTCCGCCGCTGCTCTACCACTTGAACTATCGTGACACTAATTTCCCATCTCAACCCCACTTTTTGAATTTTGCCTTCTTTTTGCAATTTTTCAAATGTCGTGTAATCGGATTGGATTCTCGACGACAAATGAAATGGCCACGGAAAGCTTTAGTGAAGAATACTTCATTTTAAATAATTAAATTCACTAATTTTGTGGCCCGCTTGACCAATTAATATATTACAATTAATATAGGTTTTTATTTGAGATAAAAAAGTCAATGGCACGAGCGGGACCACGTACCATGAAATTAGTGAATTCAATGATTAAAAATGAAATATACTTCACTAAAGCTCTCCGTGGCTATTTCATTTGTCGTTGAGAATCCAACCCGATTACACACGACATTTGAAAAATAGCCAAAAGGAGGAGGGAAAATTCAAAAGGTGTGGTTGAGATGGGAAGTTGGTGTCCGAGTGGATCGAGGTCATGATAGCTCAAGTGGTAGAGCAGCGGCGTATCTAGCCGAAGATCGTGGGTTCGAATCCCGCGTGCCATTGACTTTTTTATCTCAACTAAAAACCTTAATTAATTGTAATATACTAATTGGTCAAGCGGACCACAAAATTAGTAAATTTATTATTATTGTTATTATTATTTTTTTTTAAACCCTAACCATCCCTAACAAAGTTTATTAGTACGAATTTAAACTTGGCATGGCAAAAACACTGGCCCCGTGAGAGTTCATATAACCCTGTAGTTCAAATTTTTATTTTAATTTTTTGCCATAAAAAATTAAAAAAAAAATTGCTGAGGGTGTTTCTCAGGGTCTATCCTATGTCATACATTTTTTATTATCTTTCTAAACACACCCCTTATATGGGTGTAAAGGGCTGACTGACATTGCATTATACGTATCTTCCTGAACTCTAAGCGCTATAGAAAAGCAATTAAATCTCACTTTAAAAAAATCTATTTTTCTATAATATGCGAAAGTTAGGAATAAATGCAATGTTCTTCTAAGCATGCTTATCATGGAGCACCTCACTTGACCAACAAGCTTCAAAAAGCTGTAGTTTATTCAAAATAAGTTTGGAAGGCTTGCTATGTCGTCTCCACGGTACACAAACCTTTCTGACCTCTATATATCCACTGGAATTCCATGGCTCAAAGAAGTAATTTTGCAAGGGATGACTCTACCTTAAGTAGAGCAGGTAGTAAAACAGGAATAAACTATAAGCATAGAAGGGTGAAACATTAACGACTGTTATTATCTCCATAACAACATTTTTCACAACCCCCCACATTCTAGACATTAAAAATCATATTACACATTTATTAGAGCTTTGTGGGTTTTTCACGATAATTTTTCCCATAAACTATGTATGTATTTTACTATTTATGTAAAATTAAATTACAATTAATTAAAGTTATCAGTTGAGATAAAAAAGTCAATGGCACGAGCGGGATTTGAACCCACGATCTTCGGCTTGATACGCCGCTGCTCTACCACTTGAGCTGTCGTGACCTCGATCCACTCAGACATCAACTTCCCATCCCCACCACACCTTTTGAATTTTCCCTCCTTTTTGCCATTTTTTAAATGTCGTGTAATCAATTTGATTCTCGGCGACAAATGAAATGGCCACCGAGAGCTTTAGTGAAGTTCAGTTGAGATAAAAAAATTTTCCCAAATTCGAATCCCGTTCGTACCATTGACTTTTTTATCTCAACTGAAAATCTTAATTAATTGTAATATATTAATTGGTCAAGCGGACCATGAAACTAGTGAAGTAAAATTAAATCTTCATATGCGCTGTTTGCATGAAGAAGACACAGACCCCTGCCACTTTACCCTCGAAAATATGTTAATAATTGGTACTGTATACAGAAGAAATCTGATCAATAAATTTATTTACTTTATTAATTTCAGGTTGAAGTATTAAGAAAACAGTTGGAAGAATCGAGGAAAGCTCTTGAGACTGAAAGGCAGTCGAGCGACACCCCGTCTATCGCTGCGGAGAGACATGCACAGCTCTTAAGCAAGGTTGAGACTTTAAATCAACTCACCGAGAACAACAAATCACTGCGTGAGGACCGCGACAGGCTAGCGAAAAGGTTAAACGAGGTCGAAACTGAACTCAAGACATTGGATGAGACCGTCGTCAACCCGTCTAGGAAAAAGACCAGCGAGCTCGAGGCAGTCGTTGAACAGCTCCAGACAGAAATCACGGCCCTACGGGGCGAGAATAAACGTTGGCAGGATCGTGCGAACCAGCTGATCGAAAGGACGAATAAAAACCCGGACGATCTCAAACGGCTGACTCAAGAGAAAGAAAACCTGACGAAACAACTCGGCATCGAGCGAGACATGTCGAAATTGGCGAAGCAGAAGGCCGACGAGCAGATCGCCCAGTTGAAACGCGAGAAGGACGATTCATCAAACACGCTCGTCAGCCTTGAGAAACTTTTTAACAGCGCTAGAGCCGATCTCACCACCGCCAAAGAATCTGAGGCTAAAGCCAATGAAACAGTGGCCAAACTTGAACAGGAAGTCGGAACTCTTAAAGCCCAACTTACCGAAATAACCAGCAAAGAAGTTCAGGTAAATTTTTCATATTTTACTCATAAAATTGTTTTCTTATCTTTTATTTTATATTTTTAGATAAGGCAAATAGCTAAAAAATACAAACTTCAATATCAACAGTTATTGACTAATTTCGAGGAGAAAAATAAAGCAGGGCCTTCGACTTCAGAGGCTGAAGAGAAGGTGAAGACCCTCACGGAACAGGCTGCCGGATTGGAAACTGAAAATGAGACGTTGAGACGTGAAAACGAGTCGCTGAAGGCGAGTGTCGTTGAAAGGGAAGAGAGGGCGAAAACACTGTTGAAAAACGCTCGTTCTCGAGTTCAACACCTCCAGGAAGAGAACAAAACTCTTATCAAAGAGGTTGCGGAATCTAGGTCGAGACGAGGTGACACGACTACTCCGGCAGAGATGAGAATCTACGAAAACAGGATATCGAGGTTGGAAAAGGAAAAAGAGGAGGAGACGGCGGAAAAGGACAGACTCGGAAGGGAACTCGAGGTCATGACGCAAAGGATGAACTTGATACAGCGCCAATTAGACAAGCAGCAGGTTACCAAACCGTCGACAAGCAGTGGCGAAAAAATGTCCAATGATCCGCCGACGGCCAATATAAAACCGATGGCTGGCTTGTCGGCACCTACGACGAAACAAATCCAGCCTCAACAAGCCGTCACAGTCACACCTTGGAGAGAAACTCCTTTCGCAAGCATTCGGCCGATGTCACAGCAGGCCAGAACTGTCGTTGTACTTCCCACTAGTCAATCGTCATCATCCAATCAACCGTGAGAACAAGTTTAATTAATTTTTTTTTTAGCAAGTACAATGAGTTTTGTTTTAGGGTACTGGTTGCACCTCAACAGCAGGTTGTGCATACAAGCAGTAACTGCGAAGGACTCTCCTCTTCACCGACTTCCTCGCACATTGATTGCATGCCTGCTAGCAGTTCAGCAGTACACAGTATCCACCAAGCGCAGCATACAGTTATTATAGGACAGCATATGGAAGCAGAAGGTGTCGGCTGTGACGAAATGGCATCCCAGCCTCCGACACACCACGTCCAGCCGAACCCCAATGTCTCCATTGCACTCGTCCTTCCTCAGCCGACGCCGCAACAGCAAGATCAAGAACAGGTCAGTTGTAAAATTAAACTTATATTTGACATGATGAATTTAAACTTTGCGTTATAGGCTGAAGCAGTATCAGCAGAGAATAATGGCGTCGTTTCGGCGTCGAACGAGGAACAAGAGTCGGAACAGTCGGTCTCGGCTTCGAATCACAGCACGTCGGTCGTCGGCCCAACTTACTACAGGTCGGTCGACGAGTCGAGCGGTCCTGTTGCATCGAGCCAAGCCGAAGGTTCAAGCAGTAGTATGGCTTCAGTAGCGGCAAGCAGCCAACAGGCTGCTAGCAGCACTACATCAGTCACGACTTCAGTAGCACCGGCAGTAAAACGCCCGATGACTAGTCAAGAAGATTCGGACTGTAAACACCTACCCCCTGTAAGAAATAATTTCAAGTAAACATTCGTATTTTACAATAAATTAAGGTTTTTAGTTGAGATAAAAACCTTAATTAATTTTAATATATTAATTGGTCAAGCGGACCACGAAATTAGTGAATTTAATGAATTAATAAAATGAAGTATACTTCACTAAAGCTCTCTGTGGCCATTTCATTTGTCGCCGCGAATCCAATCCGATTACACGACATTTGAAAAAGGCCAAAAAGGAGGGAAAATTCAAAAAGGTGGGGTTGAGAATGGGAAGTTAGTGTCCAAGTGGATCGAGGTCACGACAGCTCAAGTGGTACAGCAGTGGCGTATCAGGCTGAAGATCGTGGGTTCGAATCCCGCTCGTGCCATTGACTTTTTTATCTCAACTAAAAACCTTAATTTATTGTAATATATTAATTTAATGAATTCGTATTTTACTTTATTAAAAAATCTTTTTCGTCAGAATAAACGAGGCAGGATGATGACGACTGGAGAGGGAAGCGGAGAAATGCTCCTAAGGGCGGACGGTCTCGAGGTGGAGTATCAAGTTCCAACGAGTTCGCAGAGAGACCAGGAAGACGACGTGCTCGTGATAAGCGATGAAGATGATATGCCTGATGACGGCGTGATGGAAGATGGTCAAGAATTCGAGGAAGAGCCGGAAGAAGAATCGAGATACCTTATCGACGCTTACGGCCAGGACGGACAAGATATGGCCATGACTAGCTACGAAGAAGGCGACGGACCTGACATCGATGAAGGTTCGACGACTGACCAAGATAACAATGAAGTCGACATTATAAGTAATATTACTAAATACAATTTTCTTCCCAGAGATATGCTAATTTTTTTAAAATATAATTTAAAGATGATAGCAATGAAGTACCGAATCGATGTGAAAGCAGTCATGGCGGAAGTAGCGCAGAAGGTAGTGGCAGCGGGATGGAAGGCGTTGCGACGACGGGGGGAGGTGAAGCAACCAGCTCTTTAGGGTCGACGACAACCAGCCAATACCAAGTAAGCAGAAGGCCACCGAGCGTTCCCGTAAGGCATCACATGATTTTGGTGAATATAAATTTCAGGTTTTTGTGTTTATCATTTTCCGTCTAATCACCGATTATGATAGTTCACACTAACCCAAGACACGAAATCTAACCGAATTACGATCTTTTTCAAGTTCGTTATTACACTCACACACTTATCGATGTTTTTTTAAAAATATTTTTGTTCTAATATTTTGTGTTTTAGAGTTATGAAGATCCTGGCGATGATTCTATTGTACCCTCCACCCCGACACTGTTCGTTCCAAGACGTACCGACGGATATGGGGAAGCTGTGTCGTCACCACATGTACCAACAGCTAGATTCACATTCACCGACTCTGGCACATCCAACTCCAGTCGTCCTCCAGGTAATGCCAAATTTTTGTAAATTTTTTTTTTAAACCTCATTTCTTTTGTTTTGGGAAATTAGTCGCAGGCGTGGCGCAGGTAGCGTCTGAAGGCATGGATGACACGAGAATGGATTTGTCACAGTTGGACGAAGGTACTGGGCGTAGTGTACCAACCACGCCTTCTCACGTTTCTCCTCAAGGTAACTTAATTTAATTTTTAAAAGTATTAAGAATGAGCTTATTTTTTAAATTTATTTTTGTTTTTTAGAGCCGAATCCTTGCGAAATCGGACAGAGTTCAGTTCAAGATCTTGCAGTTCCAGGCGGAAGCGAAACTCAGGAGTCGGGGATTACAAGCGACCCGGCTTCCGAGCAGCAGAACGACACAAACAACGACGACAACGGGGACGGTTCGTACTTTAATTTATAAAATCATGAATAGCCACAAAAAAAAAAAAAAACTTGTTTGTAGGCGTGAGTAGCGAGACGGAGAAACCGCTTTCGAATTCGCCAGCTACAATAGCTTCTCCGGACCCTGAAGAAGAGGGCAGAGAGGCGGAAGCGAGTCCGACGGCTAGGTCTTCGACGTCGTCTAACACCGTGCAACCAGCAAGCCCTATGAATCCGAGGTCGTCCAGCTCAACTAGCTCAGCGCACCAGCAGGGCCACAACCAACACCTTCCGCAGAAGCGCAACCGACATCCCAAATCGACCCCGACCCGCGCCAACGCTCCGACGCCGATCGTTTGGGACACCACCGAGCCGACCGTCTCCATGGCACCTATGAGAGGTACGCTTAGCTTTTACCCGATATCCGAAATTTTTTTTCAGATCATTAAGCTCTTACAAAGCTTTATAGGTAACTGGCATAAAAGAAATGAGGAACGCAGGTCGAAATTTATGAGAAGATAATTGTGTTCTCTTCTTTTTTCAAGATTTTAATTACAAGACTGTCCTTTATTTGAAGATTAGTTAGTTCAGATTTGTGAGTGTTGTTTATATACGGTAGCATAGAACCTGAGGCCTGTTTTGTTTCAAAAAATTTAAGGAAGTCCAAAATAAAATCATTATTTTTGGTTATTTAAAGGATTATTATAAATGATCTTTCGACTTGTTTAACCTTACGTTTATTTGCAGAGGTTTACTTTTCTGGCAATCAAAACCGCAACCTCAATCATAGAAACGTGATGGGGAGGGGCATCGGTTCGAGCGGTAACCTGATGGAATTGCGCAACACGAGCGGACGTGGCTTGCGGCGGCTCAGAGGACCCAACCTGACCTACCATTCATTCCATCTCAGGGGTTCATTTCAGAACCAGCCGCGGTAAGTTGTCAAATTTTTTTTTTCTTTTTTTTATAAACTAAACGACTTTTTCTAAACAAACAATTTAATGTTTCAGGTGATTGTCTGGCTTTTATTCAGGCACGGATGTAAATAAAAGTTTCTTATGATAGTTGAAACAATTTCTTCTTTTTTTTCTCTCTTTTATTTCTCTTGCTTTTATTTTGTATGTATGCTTACACTTAGTGGAAATTTAGGCCAAGGATTTCATAAATATATAAATAAATGTTAGAATAAAAATAAACAGCTTTTTACTTTTTACACTTGGCCATTTATTTTTTATTATGATTTATTTTTTTGAAAAGAAGATGAAATAAATAGGTTGGTTGCAGCTGGGTTGGTGGCCCCTCGGGCCAGGGCAGAAGTTTCTCTTCACATGTTATGTAAAAAGAAGTTCGCTTCGTAAGTAAATTTTTTCTAGTGGCTAATGCTACAACACAGTCAAAAAAAAAAAAATAAATAAATAAATAAATAAAAATTATAGATTTGCCCTTTAACCCATTCAATGAGGACCGAAATCCGAGAATCCATCACCATTGCATTTAGGTTTTAATAAAGGCAAATAATGTTTTATGACACAAAAGTGCATTTATTTATTTATTTATTTTTACGAGGGTGGCTGGAAAGCAATAAATAACTGCCTGACTCACAAATGGGCTTTAGAAAGGAACGCTCAATCACAGATGTCCATGGAATACTAGTCATGGACATACAACTAGGTTTCACGAATAACCAAAGCACTCTAGCACTGTTTCTGGACATATCAGCTGCCTTTGATTTCATCGATCTGTTCATTCTAGCAGAAAAAATGCAAAGGATGGGTTTACCTATCAAATTTATTAAAAAACAATCACTCTCGTCTCAAAGAAGAACATATATGTCCAAATAAATGACATCACTCTTGGACCAAGGAAAGTTAGTATTGGATTGCCCCAAGGAGGAATACTAAGCCCACTGCTGTATTTGCTATACGTTGCAGATGTAGAAAATGTAATAACAAAAAATTCACTAATTTCGTGGCCCGCTTGACCAATTAATATATTACAATTAATTAAGGTTTTTAGCTGAGATAAAAAAGTCAATGGCACACAGGATTCAAACCCACAATCTTCGGCTAGATATGCCGCTGTTCTACCACTTGAGCTATCGTGATCCCGATCTACTGGGACATTAACTGGCAAAAAAAAATTAACTGAAAAATGGCAAAAAGGAGGGAAAATTCAAAAGATGGGGTTGAGATGGGAAGCTAGTGTCCGAGTGGATCGAGATCACGATAGCTCAAGTGGTAGAGCAGCGGTGTATCTAGCCGAAGATCGTGGGCTCGAATCCCACTCGTGCCATTGAATTTTTTATCTCAACTAAAAACCTTAATTAATTACTAACAAAAAATGTTAAAATTATTCAACTGGCGGATGACATATCCGTCCGTCTACTCCACTCATAAATTGCAGAAGGGGCAATAGAGCCCATAGATTCGGCGGCGACAAAATTACTGAACTGGACGTACACCAAAGGATTAAATATTTCTGAAGAAAAATCAAAAATATATTATTTTACAAGATCCATGAAATCTACTCTTCCCGATACTGACCCTGGCGGAAAAATCATTTCCTGTGGTTAATGAAGTCAAATTTATTGGATCATAAGTTATCATGGAATGGCCATATTGCTGCAATTGAGACCAAAGCAGAGAAATTTTCCCAAATTCAGAGATTCCACGGAAATGTATTTCAGGATATGCTAACCTTACAGTCAGCTTGCTCTACTACAAAGCAACAATTAGATCTTCCTATTCTTCCTTCTTTCCCTATCTCTCTCGTTCTTTCTTTCCCACATTTTCTGTACTATTCGATCTCTCCCTCTCCCTCTCCCTCTCCCTCCCTCTCTCTCTCTCTCTCTCTCTCTCTCCTCTTTCTTTCTTTCACTCTCTCTCTCTCTCTCTCCTCTCAACTGTAGCGTCATTAATTCAAAACAAATTCAGCCGGAACATCTAAAAAGGAGACCATGTATATCTGTCGCTCTGAAGTTCTCTTCTTCCTCTTTCTCTTTCCCCCATTCTCTATACATCTCGAACTTCCTTTTTCATTTTTAATAAATCTGTCTGGTTTCTCCTTCCCATCTCTCTTCACTCACTCACTCTCTCTCTCTCTCTCTCTCATTCATTCACTCGCTCTCTTGATCCAGCGAAAATATTTATTAATTTACTATCTATCTAATATAGTCTGTGTATCTATTTATGTATTTATCTATCTTACTCTCTCTTTTTTACTCATTCTCTGTACTTGTAAAAATTCCGGGGTCATCCGGGAGTAGCCAGTCCCAATTTTTAAATATGGGTGTCCGATTTTATTAATTATTACTGTGTGCCCGCAATGTTTAGTTCCCATTCAGGTCGATTGTTTCTGAAGCCGAAATGAGCTTTTCCTCCCTTTTCTTTGTATAAATATTTCCATATTCGTCCATTCCAGAAAGTTTTTAGCGCAATCGACGTTGAAGTTTTCATTGCCTCTATGTAGGTTTGCCATTCTTTGTGTGCTGCTTAATGTTTGCTTGGATTTTTTGAGCTTTGATACAGCAGATTAGTAACCCATATGATATAATCAGGCGTTATGTATCAAATCTATCCAATGCAGCTTTTTCTCGCAAAATTTTGTGTGTGTTTTTGTGTTTGGTAAGTGAACGCGTAAGGGTCGTTGGTGTCAAAAGGGCAAACAAACCGGCGAATACGTTATTAAAAAACTCGGGTATCCGAGATAGTTTATCACTCGGGCTCAAAGCAATCAGTGGCTAACGGTTTGCTGATCAGAGACAAAAACCCTCGGGCCATTAATCTCGGGGCCAAGTGTCATTAATTGTAGCCGGGTCCCCCCTCGACCTCTCATGGGACGGGGATTGGCGGAAATTAATCCCGAAAATCCCCTTATGATGGCGATGGTCTACGAGTGGAATGACCTGTTGGGACGGTCGGCGGACATTTTTACGTTGACCTACCAAATGAAAACTACCATTGGAAAAGTAACGTTTTTTCAAGCTGTTGTACTACGGATCTCGGACAAATTAATTTTTTCATTATTTTAATTAATTATACTTTTTTTCTAAGGTCTTGGTTGAGACGAAATTTTTGTATTATTATTATTCCCAGACTATTGTCATTTTACTGTACTTGTAGAGTTATATTACTTTAATAAAATTTGATAACAACTCTCAACTCTCACTCTCTCTCTTTCTTTCTCTCTCTCTCGTTTATTCTCCACGCCTGTCTTTTTTCGTTTTGCAGTCACGAAACATCTGCCTGGTCATTTGGCCTTTCTTTGCCTCTATCTGTCTGTCTGTCTGTCGCTCTCTCTCTCTCTCTCTTTCTCATTTACTTTCTCTTTCCTTCTCCCTCTCCCTCTGCATCACCCTCTCTCTATCTCTTCATCTTTCTCTCTCTCGCACTCTCTCTTTATCTCTCTGACTTTTTTTTCTGTCTATCTATTTACCTATGTAAACCTTGTGTCCTTTGTAGAAGCCCCGGGCTGAATTTCTCTTGAACCAATAACGCTATCAAAGAACAAAAAATACGTGTTTGATATTTTTTACTCTAGTTTCACCTATCTGTCTCTCTTTCATATTCTTGATAGATTTGTCTTGTCTCAAACCTTTCTCTCACTCTCTCTCTCTCTCTCTCTCTCTCTCTCTCTGACTTTTTTCTCTATGCCTGTCTTTTTTCTTTTCGCACTCACGAAATATCTGCCTGGTCATTTGGTCTTTCTTTGCCTCTATCTGTCTGTCTGCCTGTCTACTGTCTGTCAGTCTGTCAGTCTCTCTCTCTCTCTCTCTCTCTCTCTCTCTCCCTCTCTCTCTCTCTCTCTCTGACTTTTTTCTCTATGCCTGTCTTTTTTCTTTTTGCACTCACGAAATATCTGCCTGGTCATTTGGTCTTTCTTTGCCTCTATCTGCCTGTCTGTCTCTCTCTCACTCTCTCTCTCTCTCTCGCACTCTCTCTTTCTCTGTGGGTTTTTTTCTATCTAACTATCTATTTATCTAATGTAAACCGTGTGTCCTTTGTAGATGCCCCCGGCTGAATTTCTTTTGAACCAATAACGCTATCCAAAAACAAAAATTCATCGTTTAATATTTTTTACTATAGTTTTACCTATCTTTCTCTCTTTCTTATTCTTGATAGATTTGTCTAGTCTTACTCCTTTCTACCCAATTTTCACTCTTTCTCCCTCTCTAACTTTTGTTCTCTATGCCTGCCTTTTTTTTTGCACTCACGAAATATCTGCCTGGTCATTTGCTCTTTCTTTGCCTCTATCTGTCTGTCTGTCTGTCTCTGTCTCTCTCTCTCTCTCTCTCTCTCTCCCTCTCTCTCTCTCTCACTCTCTCACTTTTATTCTTTACGCCTGTCTTTTTTCGTTTTGCAGTCACGAAACATCTGCCTGGTCATTTGGCCTTTCTTTCCCTCTATCTGTCTGTTTGTCTGTATGTCGGTCTGTCTATCTGTCTGTCTCTCTCTCTCTCTTTCTCATTTACTTTCTCTTTCCTTCTCCCTCTCCCTCTCCATCATCCTCTCTCTACCTTTTTATCTTTCTCTCACTCGCACTCTCTCTTTCTCTCTGACTTTTTTTCTATCTATCTATTTATCTAATGTAAACCGTGTGTCCTTTGTAGATGCCCCGGGCTGAATTTCTTTTGAACCAATAACGTTATCAAAAAACAAAAATCACTCGTTTAATATTTTTACTCTAGTTTTACCTATCTTTCTCTCTTTCTTATTCTTGATAGATTTGTCTAGTCTTACTCCTTTCTAACCAATTTTCACTCTCTCTCTCTCTCTCTCTCTCCCTTTTCTTCTCTATGCCTGTCTTTTTTTCTTTTTGCACTCATGAAACATCTGCCTGGTCATTTGGTTTTTCTTTGCCTCTATCTGTCTGTCTGTCTGTCAGTCTCTCTCTCTCTCTCTCACTCGAACGAAAAATACGTGTGTAATAGTTGTTATGTTTTTAATTTTTTTTTTTTACTGTGATAGAAAGATACGTAAAGAAATAGATAGACAGATAGGTGGGTAGTTAAGTAGCACTTATTTATCTGCCTACATATATTCGAATGACACTATATAATAAAACGTTTTAATAATTATTCATAAATTTTCTGACACAAATTTAAATTGTAACAAAATTAACACTTTTTTATTTGAATTTTTTTCTCATTTCTCCGGTCTTTTTAAGCACAAACATTCTCTAAAATTGTCTTTTATTGTTATGCAAAATGAAAAAAA